ATCTTAAAAGGCACTGCCATTTATGAAGGTAGATTATCATGCATAGTAGATGAATATTTTTCAACATTTTCCTCGTACTATGGTACACTTATAATAAACAATTGACAACTATATGATTCGATAGTTCCATTTGCTGTGATCAAGAAAATAGATCAATATCTGCGATTACCGATTCCTCTCAGATAGACGTTAAAGAGATATGGCCAGCACCAAAGATGCTAAAAGTTAGCTTATGATTTTCAGTTTCTGGTTCAGATAAACTGAAATAGTTAGAAATTAATGACGCCTACTATTTACGGTATAAAGTGAAGACATTAATACTTAAAATATCAGAATAAGGTTACAATTATCATTGTAAAGGGCGCAGACACGACACAGTTAATAATCAACATTCAGGATATCTCTGTCGGATGTAATTAATTCCTCTGGCCTACCGGTCTCAGTTACGATGCCAGTGGCTCTGAAATCTTATCCTTGTTATTAATTAGTTCTTTAATTCATTAGAAGGAAAGGACGCTACAGCTAATCAATAAACAGTCCTTGATCAGTGCGGATAACCGATCACCGGCCGCATCATGCCAAAAGACGTTAAAATATGGTACTTGTTGGTCCCTGCCTGGCGCTCGGCATTAATGGGTACAACAAGGACTGTCGGCCCGGAGTCAGTATAATGTGTCTGAGTGGGGTATTCATGCTTCACTGCGGCATGGCATCTCAGTGAGCTAGCACTATAAAACCAGCTTAAGTCTGGACCGGTACAAGCAGCCAACATACACACACATGCACGTCGTTATATGAGCGAAATAATCTTAAGTGCCCCATTTCACCTCACCTCACCTCACCTCACCAGTGCGGATAACCTTCCTGACGACTCGACAAGAAAAAGACCTGAGATTCATTCTTATATGAACTACTTACTGCATCGGCACTGAACCACTCATACGCTGATTATGCGTCATTCGTGACATTAGTTTACATCGTTGATTATATTTGATACTTTACTTACTTCGTTGATTGTACTTGATACTATGTTTACATCGTTGACTGTACTTGGTACTTTGTTTTAATCGTTGATTGTACTTGGTACTTTATTTACATCGTTGATTGTACTTGATACTTTAGGTACATCGTTGATTGTACTTGATACTTTATTTACATCGTTGATTGTACTTGATACTTTATTTACATCGTTGATTGTACTTCATACTATGTTTACATCGTTGATTGTACTTGGCACTTTATTTACATCGTTGATTGTACTTGATACTTTATTTACATCGTTGATTGTACTTGATACTTGATTCACATTGTTGGTTATACTTGATACTCTATTTACATCGTTGGTTATACTTGATGCTTTATTATGTTTGAAACTTCACTTGACAGCTCATAATGGGCCTTTGAGTAAAACCAAATGCTCACTGTGATCGGTTTTAGTTCCTCTTTTAAATTCATTAAACAGAAAAGATCTGAATTGTGTCGATTATATTTGATTGTGTGCAAAACTGTGCAAATTTGTGTACCAGGGGAAATAATTAAATTAGAACAATAGAAAGTTACACACCATTTTGCCGCAATGAAGAAGTTAAAATGTCCACATGATCATGTATGCTACAAGATGGACTAATTCACATATCGTTGAAGATTGTCGGAGCTATTCCGATGGTCATTCAGGAAGTAACTTCAACAGGGCACTTACTGAAGCTCTATTGTCTGAATGTTCTTGCTGACAATGTAAAGCCTCTCCAAGGAACTTGGGAGTTCAACATACTTCAATTACTAGGTCAATCGTGTGTTCAGACTAAGTTGGTGACTGAGAGGTCGTGGGAACATATTATTGGTGTCAGAATGGCTGTGTATAATTGTCATGGGACGTTACATTAACGTCGAGACTTGTGGTGGATGTTCTTGCCAATATTCCCAAGGACGTACCACCGTACCAGTATGTTCATGCTTTGATATTTACGCAAGCATATATGTGAAACATGAATACACATCAATGTTTTCACTCCGACAAACGTGATACTCTACCATGACAATATAGAATCCTATATTCTGATTGGTCCGACAGCAATATTGAATCTACCTTTGATCAGAATGTTGCTGATGGAAGAAAATATTTATTTACAAGCACTTTTTACATGCCCAATAGGTTTTTCAAATAAATATCTTACTTCACAAACGTTGTGAAACGTTATGTTTCCTTCGTTATATTTTCAGAAGGAAAACTCAACAAGAGAATGTTTTGTCGTGTTAAGCATAATCATTATTTCAGTATTTATGAAGCGAGAGTGTTCTGTGGCCAATGGTTACACCTATATAGAAAAAGACAGTTGTTATAGAGGCGCGGGTGCAACGCGGGTATACGGTTGGCTTGTCAAGTGAAAATCCCCAATTAATATGTATGCTAAGTTCAAAATGGTATACGTGATATTTATTGGAATATTGAAGAAAATTTCAGTTTTAGTGGTTGTTTTGTTTAAGTTCAGATAATTCATATTCAGTTCGCTATCTTGTACCGTACCATTGTTTCTATGTTTATCGAGATACATATTTGACTTGACGCTACGTGTGTTTGTTACCGATAGGACAGGACACGCTTTTCTCGACCACCCGGTGTCATCACTCTCTGATTTTGGTCCATAACGCATGTACACGATATCACCGGCATCGAGCAATGAACTTCCCTTAGCTTCATTTTTTAGGCTTTTGTAAAAGGTTGTGTCGATATTTTCCCCTGGCAGTTTTCCAAAACATATAATGTTAATGCTATTCATCATTAATGTAACTTTTTGTAAACCAAATCCTCTAAATGGAGCATAATCCGACATCAGACAAGAATAATACTAGTTAAGGGAATGAAAGCTGTATCAGGAAGTCATTAATCCCATACAGCTATGTCTTCCCAATCAAATCTAAAACTGAAATCTTATAGTTCCTTAATAGTTAGTCGTACCTTCTATCCTGTATCGAACTCTGATGACATGAGATTAGTAGTAGGACAACACTATTTCAATCATGCTAACTAACGCCTATAAGGGCCAAGGCTTGCATGTAATTGGCGTCAAGCAATCGGCCTAGAAAGCCGTTAATCAGAGGCGACACTGACAATCATCATCACGCTACTCTGTCACCACACACTGGACGTGACAGGACCCAGTTACTTGATCCGATACATTGATTTGTCAAACTCTCTGACATTTCACACGTCGGACTTCATCGCAAAGTTGTTGCATTCACACATGAAATGATCAGTTTTATAAGTTTATCTGTCCCTGGGCATGCATTGTCTTAATATGTTCGTACGTGTGATGATTGGTACGTTCTGAGACTCACATAGAAAGATTGGAACGAGAGACAATCAATTTATATATTTTTCAATATAATCCCCTTCCACACTCACTTCATACACTTTGTCAACGGTGTTATTTCATGGAAGTCCTTTACTTGAGGCTATTCAAAACGTTCTCCACAGCTCATAGAACGTCACCATTCGATTCGAAACGGGTTTTGTCTGGAGATATCTCTTTCTGTTCCGGGAACTGATTGAAGCCAGATCAGGAAAATAATAGGGGTGCTCATTGTAGCCAGGAGAATAACTGATCCGCGCATTGTTCTGATATAAAACCTTGGTCTTAATGTCACCATGCAGTTGTCTCAAATGTGAATCAAACATGGTACATGTATTGTCTGTTCTTGTAGGATAGTACACAATGAGTAAACTCTCGACATCCTTGAACATGAGATGCCATAACATTTCCAGATGATGATGTGATAGTCTTTGGTGCTAGTGTTTAATACTTTTACTGTTCGACTGATTGTTGTTTGATGGTGTTGAGCCCAGCACTCATCCATAGTCACAAATTGCTGCAAAAACCTTGCTGGACCAGTTTCTAACAGAGCTAATAAGACATGTTGTGCGTTGTGATCAGATGGAGAATCTTTGGAACTCAATAAGCTGATACCAAATCTTCTCAAATAATGGAATGCACTATCTAGTAAATGCCTTCTGAGCTATAGAAACTATAGTGCGAGGCATATCGGCCATCGTCATATCGGTGAGTTTGTGAATCCTGTCTGGCATTGCTGATGTGACAGGCCTCCCGGGACAAGGTGAGCTGTTGACCATAGTCACAAATCGCTGCAAAACCTTTTCTGGGCCAGCTTCAAACAGAGCTAGATGATCACGAGACATGTTGTGCGTTGTGATTAGATTGGAGAATCTTTGGAACTCAACAAGCTGATACCAAATCTTCTCAAATAATGGAATGTACTGAAATGCCTTCTGGATTATCAAAAATATAACGCGAGGCATATCTGCCATCGTCATATCGGTGAGTTTGTGGATCCTGTCTGGCATTGCTGACGTGACAGGCATTCCGGGACAAGGTGAGCCTCAAGGCTTAAAATCTGTTGTTCACCTCTTTGCATAAAAGGGATTCTATCCCAGCTTAGGGATCATATCCTAATGGATTGCGTTTGGCATTAAGCCGTTTTTTCTACATGCCTTAACCTGATTTCTTGATCAGTGCACTGAAAGTTTTTGTAGACATACCTTTATGACATCATCAAGAAAGGAAATGTTACTGTTAGAGGCTAAGAAAGTATCAATAAACCCTCCTAGAAGCAAGAACTGAGTAGCTCAAGATGGCAACGTGCAGGTATCTCGATGACAACCTTTCAGGTCAAAATCTGTCCAAAACGTTTTCATGAACATTCAAGTAGATAATTAGTTTCTGTAAGGTCTACTGATGATACCACATGTCGACCTTCATTAAACAATTGATTTATTAAGTGTTGCACGCAAATAAGTAAGACGATTTACATGGTAGCAAACATTCGTCTCTTTATCCTGAATCCTGCTGACTGTGGCGTTAAATGACAAATGTAAATAGCCTTAACTTATTGTCCGCATCACCGTAATCATCTCATTCACAAGTAGATATGTGTTAATATGCTTAATGTGTTTATTCTTAAACACGTAATACGTGAGTACTCACCTCCAAAACATGAATGTATCGCCCATTTTCCAACGCATTTCCCTGGAAACATAAAAGAAATGCATATTAATGGTTATTTTCAAAATTTGAAATTCATGAAGGCAAAGGAGAGGAACTGCGAACCATTCCATTCGGGTTATATAATAAAAAGGTCTGAAAACAGTCACCGAAACACTGCAAAAGTAAGATCCAAATTTACAACTATGATACGTGTGATGTATTATATACATATACACTGGAAAAAACATTTCTTGTATATAATATCTGCTATATTTTGGATTACACTTTCTCAGCAAATTACAGATTCTAGTACTATTTTGAGCCCCACCCTGGTAGAACAGCCAGGTAATCAACAAGCTTGTGGAGTGAAATTTCAGTTTCACATGTACAACTCGCACACCTGCCTGTATGTCACGTATGTTATCTATTACAGAACCCAGGACCAAATAGTAAATATGTCATGTATAGTATTGCGACGGAACCAAGGCATCTTATACAAATAATTATATTCAATAGTAGAGGTAGAGTGCCACGTACATAACACAATTGTGATATAATTATAGATTTCTTTACATGAAAGCTGCTCGAGATATTATAAAGACGGTTCGAGATGTAAAATATTCAGTTTTCTCCTGTGAAACTACAACAAAGAGGTCTTTGCACTTGGAAAGGGGGCCAACACAAGAAGGTTATATAACAATTATGATTTAGTTATAGATATTATTACATATTAAGTCGCCCGAGAAGTTATACCAAGGATCCGTCAAGTTAACTATTTACGGATCTGCTCGTCATATAACTACACATAAGAGTAGAATTTAAACAGATAAAAATACCTTCCACATGATTCATCTCAAGCAATTCACAAAAGTGATACTTGAAACTAAACAATCAACTTAATAACGTCCATGAAACTGCTTACAATGCAAATACGTGATGATTCACCAGTTGAAAGGAAAAACATCCAAACATAACATCGTGTAAGGAATATTCATCAGAGTTTTTTAAGCAGAGACAATACTTAAAAAGGTCTGAATTTAATATCTATGGTACTCGGTTTTAGATATGAGAGCACAAAACGTGGGCAGATAGATTTAATTTGATTTTTGCAATTGTAATATAAGGTTTCTTGGAATATTGCCATTTGGACTGTAATCAGAAGGGTGATATATTACGAAAGCACCCATTGTTGGTTATTATAGGATCAGAATTATATGTGAATGTGGGTTTTATATTATCGCACATTCTTTTCAAACATTAGACACACCAGTATATGTCTTTGATAAGGGCATTTAGGATTTATAGGGTGCAATATGGAACCTTTGGACGCTATATCATTCGTGTGACGATAGATGCAATGATGAAGTTCTACATAATATAAGATGTACTACTTAAGAAAAGTGAATGAAACACGCAGCTCGTCTGTCGGGAAAGACACTGTTGTCTATTAGTATTAACCAACACTATTTTCCGAAGGACGTTGCTGACGTCAATATTATCATCCATTGACTATCTCAGTTCTTTATGTTAACTTCTATATATCTCAACTCATTATTGTTGCTTTCATCATACTCAGCATATCTGACCCCATTATATTGATTCAATTAGATCTGGCTTCGTTGTGTCCACTTCATTATAGCTTCGTTTCATCCACTTAATTATATCCCACTTCAAAATACCTCCTCCGTTATATACATTTGTAGGATGTCGTAACATCCACTAAATTATATCTCACTTCGTTATACCCCATCCATTATATAGGACGTCGTTACAGCCACTACACTATATCTCACTTCGTTATACACCTTCCATCATATAGGACATCCTTACATATTCTACATCATTTCTCACTTTGTTATACATCATCCATTATATTGGACGTCGTTACATCCACTACGTTATATCTCACTTCGTTATACTCCATAGATTATATAGGATGTCGTAACATCCACTAAACTATATCTCACTTCGTTATACCCCATAGATTATATAGGATGTCGTAACATCCACTAAACTATATCTCACTTCGTTATACACCATCCATTCTATAGGATGTCGTAACATCCACTAAATTATATCTCACTTCGTTATACCCCATAGATTATATAGGATGTCGTAACATCCACTAAATTATGTCTCACTTCGTTATACACCATCCAGTATATAGGATATCGTAACATCCACTAAATTATGTCTCACTTCTTGAGACCCCATAGATTATATAGGATGTCGTAACATCCACTAAATTATGTCTCATTTTGTTATACCCCATCCATTATATAGGACGTCGTTACATCAACTACACTATATCTCACTTCGTTATACCCCATAGATTATACAGGATGTCGTAACATCCAATAAATTATGTCTCACTTCGTTATACCCCATAGATTATATAGGATGTCGTAACATCCAATAAATTATGTCTCACTTTGTTATACCCCATCCATTATATAGGACGTTGTTATATCCACTCAATAATATCTCACTTCGTTATACCCCATAGATTATATAGGATGTCGTAACATCCACTAAGTTATGTCTCACTTCGTTATACCCCATATATTATATAGGACGTCGTTACATCCACTACATTATATCTCACTTCGTTGGAGCACAGTTGTGTAGTGGTTAGCATGCTGGCCTCTCACGCCAAAGGCCCGGTTCGATTCCCGGTGGAGACACCAAAATTTGTGACCTGGGTCTCATACTGTGTTTGTCCACATTGCACTCAGTCCACTCAGCTGTTCAAAATGGGTATCTGAGAACCGGGTCGCGCGAAGCGCTCAGTAGCGACTTTCATTTACAATTTCGTCTGGGTAATAATGTAACGCCAGAGAGCAGCATCGTGTTGGATTCTAGGCGCAAAAATTAGCATTATTATCATTTATGTTTTACAGATTAAAGATGAAAATGCATCAGAGAGGGTTCGGGTGATCCTGGCACAGTCAGGCTGGTAAGGCTCATCATCAGCTCAGGGCCTTTGCCCCCTTATTTATTATTATTATTAGTAGTAGTAGTAGTAGTAGTAGTAGTAGAAGTAGTAGTAGTAGTAGTAGTAGTAGTAGTAGTAGTAGTAGTAGTAGTAGTAGTAGTAGTAGTAGTAGTATGCCCCATCCATTATATAGAACGTCGTTACATCCACTAAATTATATCTAACTTGTCTTCGGCTTTATGATATCTGACTCAGTTGTATCGACATTATTTCTCTTTGTTATAACTGACCTAATTGTAAGTGACTGGTCTAATGACATTGTTAAACTACTTTTTTTATAGTGTAACATCTGCTTTTGTTATATCTGACTTCATTATGTCTGGCGTAGTTATGGCTGACAGATATATTCGACTTCATAATGTTTTCTTCTATTAAACTAGTATTCACATTCACGTGAGTTAGCTGCCGTTCCTGATACTGCCGGAACAAAATAAATATTCCAGACAAATCCACACTCCCCTCTTTAGGCATTAATCAGTTCGAATTTCATACAAAGCCTGCATTTCATTTATACTTGACTGGAGGCTCAGGGTCCCTAGTTGTGACAGAAATGCAATTAATCGCGGGAATGGATTTTGAATTTTCGACACAAATAAATCGACCAACATTCATTTACAACACCTTGTATCACTCAGGTGTTAATGTCATAGTTTGTGGTGCTGACGTCAGTAAGATGAAGCAGTCTGATGGAAAGAAGCACTCGCTACCTTAGGAATTCTAGACTATCCCTAGTTGTGACAGAAAAGGACAGCCGCTTGCCTTGATTTGAAATTATCGGCACAAACAAATTGACCCTCGTAATCAGTTTTGACGGCATTTATCACATAGAAATATCCCTCTCAAGCATTAATGTCATATCTTGCGGTGTTGATATCGGTAAGATAAATCAGCCTAATGGAGAGAAGCACTCACTACCTTGGGAAGCACAATTATTGTTCTCAATTCCGCCTTACGTTCGCCCTTTCGTGACAGCAAAATTCTTTCGTCTCTGTGGAGTCTTCCACCAATAAATTGCTGCAGAATAATCGTCGAAGAAGAAATAAGCTTTCATGCCAGGGTTTTCATTGAAATTAATTGTTTTAAGACCTGTTATAAAGTAGTGTCTCGTTGCCAGGCTTAGACCTCTACACATACGGTGTCAGTTATACTAGCAGAAGTTCTGCCAACTCGGGAAGATTGATCGAGGATTAATGCTTGTTTCCTAAGACTACACACGTAAAAGTATATGAGCTAAATCAGGTGACGTGAAACGCGATAACAGATTGCCTTGTCTTGTGTTGCAAGCTCTGTGCTTTCTACCATGACCCCATTGTGTCTTTGAATGTGTTCACTCGTTAATAGAGTCTCTTAAGATGCTCAGATGAACGCAAGCGACAAAACCCTTGATTACACAATGCCATTTAGAAAGTGGTCAAATGTAACATATGTTATAGTTGGGATTACACTTTTTTTGTAAGTCTGTTGGCGATTAGGTGCCCGAATCTGAGGGTGTGGGTTTGAATCCCGCATGGGACTCAACCCAACAAAAGCACTAGAATCTGTACTTTACAAAGAAAGTGTAATCCCAAATATAACATATGTTACGTTAGACAAAACCCTCCCCGAAATTCAAGTAAGGTCTGATGACACGATGAGAGATTGTACCTTACGCTTTTATATGTCTTATACTCATCTTTTGATAGAGGTACTCTCATATTCCATATCATTTACATAAACATCAGAAATAAATCACCAACTGAGTGAACAAATATATGGACTTTATGACGATAATAAATTAAAAACACTTGAAAATTCCTCTTTTCCTAGTACCTTTTCTCAGAGGCAGTTGTCAGGTATTGGCTTGCAACGTTCTATGTGGAGGTGTAGCTGCCCCAGAATCGTGATAATACGTACTATAAGCCGATGTTCTGTCAATTTCATCAATATAAGCTTTACTCGCAGATGCATTGATAATGTGTGCATTAGCGACTACTAGTACGTAACAGCGTAATCATTTCAGCAAGATAAAAATGAACAAAAAGAATTTTTATTTTACTTTCAGGTAATA